GAGCGGGCGAGAGCGTCTGGGCGGGCGGCGTGTCCGCCCCTGGGGGCGGCTGGGCTGGAGCTCCCCGTCGGGCCGCGGGCGGGTTGTGTGTGGGGAGAAAGAGAAAAGAGGAGAAAGATACATACGGAGAAATGGGTGGATGGGTGGGTGTGCAGGGGGGTGTCAAAGCTGTTTCCAGTCAGGTTTTCCTCAAAACACATTTAACTGGGTTTTAATTCTCTGGATTCAGACGGGAGAAGTTTTGGTACCACTGCCTCTCACCTGGGTGAGGAGAGGCAGCAGCGGGGCTGCCAGTGGCGCCATCCCACACCTTGCACACGAGCTTTTGTTTTGTCCCACCCAGGACTTGGTCGTTTTACACCGCTGCTGTACAAGCCCCAACCCAAAGCGCAGCCTGGAAAAGCCCTGAGGAGTGGTGAGCGCAGGGCTGTGCTGGGTCCGTGGGGTGGAAACAACATAGTGGGGCCCAGGCAAAAAAAACCCCACAATTCTCACTTGGGATGTCAGCAGATGGGTATGCTGTGAGTCTTTCTCCTACAGCTTACAGGGCTTATCTACAATAATTCATTGGAGGTGAAGGAAACAGAGGCCAGTCATCGGCTGCTGCACACCAAGGGTGTCCACGCTCTCCCACGTGGCACCAAGTTTAACAGGCAGCATGGTGGAAGCTTTGCAAACCCTGCTGGAAAATAGGATACAAACCCCACTGAATTTGGGGCATACACATCACTTTGGCACATGGCACAATTGCTGCATGCTGTGACAGCCACGACAGGCGTGGTGACAAGGACCCCAGCAGCAGTCACGGGGGAGCGACACAGACATCCTGACCCTCTAACAGTGGTGTTAGTGGGTCTAACTCGCAGCAGCGAGTGCCCCTGGCCACATGCCAGATGCTTACCGAGCAAAGAGAATATATTGCAGTGCCGCCTGACAGAGCGTGTGTGGCACAGCCAGACATCCCCAGACACCGCTGCCAGCGAAGGTCGGGGAGCAGCACCTTTTATTGTCCGGGCAGGCAGTTGGGGAGGAAAGCTGCCGGCCAGCCTGCCGAGAAGAAGTGCTGCTAGGGGAGAGCTGGCTGCGCTTCTTGGCACATACATTGCCAGTGAGGCTGGGAAGGAGTTGATAGTTTTTTTCCAAGAGCCTTTGGACTGCAAAGCAGTGATGGCAAACTGATGTGTTTAGAAGGAAATCATTAAAAGGAAGAAAATAAATTTGAAGTTCCGTGGTTGCCAAGAGGGTTTTGTTTTGCTCCCAGGTGAGCTGGCTCAAGCCGGGGAAGGTTCCCACGGGGAGAGCCTTTGAGTCTGCTTTTCAGGCACAGCAGCCACAACTCTGCCTTACACTTACAGCCTCCCTCGAGCCAGGTCTGTGCTTTTGGGGTCACTGTGCAAGTAGACATGCAAGCCTAGCTACCTCCTAGGCTGTAACTAAACCCAGCTCTAGTGCCAGGCTACCTCTTGCTATTATTCACTCTCTATCCCCAAGAACTAACCATCCTCTGAGGAGTGGGATGGCCCCTTTTTTTATGAGCTGGAAGGCAGCAGTCCAGCGCTTCGTTTCCTTGCAGGGAATGGGGCTGGAGCTGAGCTGGGGAATGCAAAACATCAGCGGATCTGCCTTATTTAGCTATGGGAGCACATGCAATATTACAGCATCCAGAAACCAGCCATCTCTGTGATTCCACCTTGCTGGATCATCCCAAGTCTCTGCCATCAGAAAAGCTCTGGTGGTGGGGAACTTGGTAGGTATTGCTGGCTCCTGGAAAAGCAAGGAGCTCCAGCAAACAGAACTGATAAGGAAGCCATAGTACTTATTAACAAACATCTCCAGCTTACCAGTTTCTATTTGTCATATTAGGTGGACAACCAAATCTTTGAACTTACCTTCATTTCCCTCCCTTCCCTTATCAAAAGGGAAAGGTCCTGTGCCCTGATAGAGCAGTGCACTCCCCTGGTCCCCCTGCCATTGTAATCTACAACCTTTACCTTTATTCCTTATGGACTGCATTATCAGCAAAAAGATTACATTTGCCTACAGTATTTAGGGCAAGTCTGTAGTGCATACTATGCTCCTTCTTTTTATCAGTGTGTTAATGTTAGCACATGATAAAACTACGCCAGCAGCCATGTCTGAAGTTAGTTAAAGCGGAAGGTACACGCAAGCCAGGAAACGCAGAATTAAACCCCACACTTGACATTTAGCAAAGATCAAACTACTGAGAGTCACACATGGGGAAAAGGAAATACATTTTCTGACTATTGCAGCTCTGTCGCAATGTGAGTTTTCAGAGTGTTGACAGTCTCAGGGCCAGAGTCTTAAGCTTCACAATTTCATGTTATCGAAGCTAATATGTATCTGCTGACTTACTTACCATCTTAAAAACTTAATACATAACATGAAGAAAAAAAGTGTCTTCATAAACAGCAGAACTAGCAAGTTCATGTCTTTTCAGCCCTTTCCCACTGTCACACCACAGGGGAGCAATTCTGCCTACTCACTTCCTTCTTTCACAATAGCTAGAAGTGAATTTAGTACGTGAAAACAGAATAACAGCTGAATAGCTTCTATTCAGCAGGAAGTGCCCAGGGCAGGAGGGATGCTAAGGAGACACGAACAAGGTTGATTTTCTCACTGTTGAATTATACAAAGATTGTTATGTTGTTTCATAGAAACGATTAAGCCAAAGTTTGCAGTCTGCATACTTAAGTGTTTTGAGTTCACTTCCTCACAATGAACTAGTCCCTTGTTCCCAAAGCTGAAAGCAAGAAAGAATATCAGTATATTTAAATCTATTATTTGCATGCATTTTACTTCCCAGCTCTAGAGACTGTTACTAAAACAGATGGAAGATCAGGCTGTACTGGATTCCCGTTCTGAAGTTCCCCTCAAGCCCTGCAGACAGTGTTTTAGTGGCCTTTGTTCTGGAAAAGCCTCTTGCGGTTACCCCAGGAATGAGCATTTTCAGGCTTCAGGCAAGCCAATCTGAGAGACAGCTCTTCAAACCCATGAGATGAGAAACTGCAACTGGCAACTCATCCCTCCTTCCAGACCAGTAAGGTTTGCTGGTGGTACTTCAAATAGCAAAGGGCAGAGGAAGGCTGGAAGAAGAGCTCTTTTCCACCACCGCACCACCCCATAAAAGGTAAGATACCTAGAATTCTCCAGTAGCTTTTCTCACAATCATCCTCCCTTCACCTATAGCCGTGTCCTTTGTGTGCACACCATGGTACAGCATGGAAGGTGCAGCTCACCTGCAGAGGCAAGAGACATAAAAGCTGCATTATGACAGCAGACACACAAGGAGCATCTCCAAGCTCCCAGGTCTAGGCGTATTATACATCTGATTCCTACCAAGGCCAGACCTGAGCTAACATACTTGGGGGAATATATTTGCTTACCTGGGAAAAAAAACAAACCATACCTGTGCAACCCCAAAATAAAAGGTTTGGTTGCCCTAAAACTCATTGATTTATCCAGCTGTGTTAGCTGATCAGATGAAGGGTATTACCAGTCCTCACAGATGTGCCACAGTTAAGTTTCCAGGACCACATAAAAAGTCATTGTGTGTTTCATGTTTTGCCACATCGAAGGCAAACATTCAAACCAGCAAACCTCCCTCTAAAAGGTCAGTTCCACTTAAACTGAAATACCCTTCCTTGTCATCACTATCTCCAAACAGTGATAACTGCGCGGCTAATGCCTTGCAGAGTTTGGACTGAATTATTACAGAGCACTTACTGCTGATTCAGGTTCCTGGTTAACACTGAGGTCTACCAAGTTACCCCAACCCCATAAACTGTAATCCGGTAACTGTACTTCCCTTCAAAACAGGTTAAGGTTATGAACAGCAAGAAGTCATCTGCATTACAAAAAGTGGGTCAGCCAGGCATCCAAAAAATTCTTGGCCTTCTCTTCTCTGGCCATAAGACAAGTAATGCTTTTTGCTTCCTCCTTCAGTAACTAGGAGTTTAAGCCTTTTTTTTTCTGCAATCAACACCCTAAGGTACAGAAGTTTCAAAGACCAAATGTTATTTCTGCTGTACCACATGCCAGTAAATTGACTTCTCCCCCCCCGCCAGGAATCTGTTGCTGTGGGTCTGCCAGCAGTATCTGACTTTTTAAGGTGCCACTTCTAAACTCAACATGAAATCATGGTAGCCAGTTCACGTATTAATACCATGTCTTGGAATTTTGTGATTTCAGGAGAAACTCGCTCTCTTCAAAAAGTAGTTTTCTGTGGCAAAGGCTTGAAAATGTGAATGTTGGGGATAACCCAGTACAAGCAGGAGCCAAATTTTTTTTCTTACAATCCTGTACCAAATCCTGTGTCTCTCCTTTGAGAGCCTTTGCTGGAATGGGCACAGAAGCATGGCTCCTACCCCTCTGATATTACCTCTCTTCTTTTTTGGGCTACCCTCTTTGCATCTGCTGCTGCTTGAATCCACTTTGAAGGAAAGATTTTTAGGATGCTAACACTATTATTCTTGTTCTGCTTAAGCTTTTAGCACAGTGGATGCAGACGTAGGGCTTTGTGGGGCCTCATTTCCTCCCTACAAAGAGCCTTTCTGCATCACCATTCACTAACCATAAAACAAAAACATTATGTGACCCAAGGATAGACACGAAGCACACTGTAACTTAGCTCCCATCTTGCACCTAAGCACAACTTGGGTCTGTCTTAACTAGCATTGTATTTCCTTCTTCCAGACTTCCCCTCTTGCAATGTATTTCTATTTAAGTCTCCACACCCATGCTCTTCCCTTGCATTCCTGCTACCCAGTGATTTTGTACATCCTAATTGCTCTGCCTGTGCCTGTGACACAGCTGCTGCCCGATGGCAATCCTGTACTTTGCAGCCGCGATGAAGGAAGCACATAGAAAGAGCAGAGACACTTGACATAACAGGACAGGTCTTACCTAGGCTCATGTCTCAGTCTCCCTTTGGGGCAAAATAACCCTTTAAGCATTGGTTTATCCTCTGCTGTTTATCCCCTTTATTCTTATTTTTACCCTATGAACCGAGTGATCTACAGTCTCTTCAGCTTCTTAGTCACCATACACACCAGCTAGCAACTGGACTCCTTTAATTCTGGCAGGGAGCATGTGTCTGAGTTTCCAGTTCTTGTACTCCTGGGATCTGGATGGAAATTGTTACAGCTGGACCTACATACTTCTATACACACATGAATATCCACCAAGGATTTGTCATGTTCTCATGCTGTTGGGCCTTTAGGGAATTTCCAAAAGATGCTTCCAGCCTCACTTGAAGTAAATAGTGCCAGGAGAACAGGAAATAAAGTCTGGCTTCTCATCTGGATTTTTCAGTGCCTGATACAGTACGGAGGTCCAGCAAGAAGTGTCAACTGCAGTATTCATGCACTTTTTTCCACTAGAAGTTCTCCAGTGCTTAAGAGCTGAGCCACCTCCACTGACTTTCTACATTGCTAGGGTCTCTCCCCTGTCTAGTAACAGATTTTTGTTACAGCAAGCACATCAGCTCTGAGATCATTACCTCTCTATCAGATT